ACGGAACGGATAGCCTTGAGAGACAGAGAACCCCACATTTCCCTTCTTCTTTGGGAGGAGTACCAGGGTTTTTCTCCACAGCTGAGTTTTCTTTCCACCTGCAAAGCTCTGGGGCACACCTGTTGCCTGTACCTTGCTTGCCAGTGTTCAGTGGTAAAAATGGGATCAGTTTCACCTGTGGTTAGAATTGTGCTCTAACGTCTTACAATAACGTTTTCATTGGATGTTTTGCTGTGGCAGGTCGAGCGGCCCCAGTAAGGCCCTGAAGCTGGGGGCGAGGGGGAAGGAGGTGGATAACTTTGTGGACAAGCTGAAATCGGAGGGCGAGAACATCATCCTACCCAGTTCGGGGAAGAGACCCTCAGAGGTGTCCAAAGTGCTGCCCCCTCCTGTCAACATGGAGAGGTAACGGGCAGCTCATGTGGCAGAAGCCACCTTTTCTTGGGTCGGTAGAGGGTGCACCAGTGAAAACATCAAGAGTGGAAGCACTTGCACGTTCTGATACATCAGTTTTTATGGTGTTTCTTTCTCAAGGAATTGTGCTCAGTCCTGCCTGTCCAAAGAAATGTTAAAGCTTCTAAACGTGCATGTGCTGTCATAGGGGCGGTTGGTTTTTCCCGTGCACGGGTCCAAACGGGCTCAAAGCCAGTTCTTCAGGTGATCTGGATGCTTGCAAAGAAAACAAGCCACAGCAGTCCAAGATAGAGACTTTCTAAGAATGGACGGCAGAAATGAGATCACCCACCCCCACCCCTGACTGCACCTGTCTCTGACCCCTCTCCCTGCAGCGTGCACTTGCGGGTGGAGGAAAAGATCTCCTTGACCTGCGGGCGGGACGGGGGGCTGCAGAACATGGAGGTACTGGGGATGATCACCCTGCGTGTCTCGGAGGACAAGAGCGGGCGCATTCGCCTGCACGTCCACAACGACGACAAGAAGGGCCTGCAGCTGCAGGTGAGAGTCCGCCGAGCAGTTAGGGCCATTTCATTTTCCCCCCCAAGCGTCTTGCAGCTCGTATTTGCATGCATGGTAGTTGCATCAGAGCAGGTGTGAAGAAGCTCATGTTTATGCTCTTATTCAGATTGATCTGGACATCAGTTTAGTTCGACCAGATTTTTTTCCCTAATAAGAGGGGCAGATCCCCTTTGCTGTGTGAAGCGGTGCTCGTTCTTTTTTTTTCCTGCATCCCTCCCTGATTTATATGACTGCTTTGCACAGACCCACCCCAACGTGGACAAGAAGCTGTTCACAGCGGAGTCTCTGATTGGCCTGAAAAACCCAGAGAAGTCCTTTCCCCTCAACAACGACGTTGGTGTGCTGAAGTGGAGGCTACAGACCACAGACGAGTCCTTCATACCTCTCACCAGTGAGTAGTGCCCTGGCGCTGGGGGCTTTCCAGATACTCCTGAAAGGAGCTTGTGAATCTCTCAGGACACTGGGCTGCCGTGCTATTGTTATCAGCTGGGTCCCACGCGAATCCTAACCTCCCAGGATCTGGGAATGAAAGCAGCAGCATTTAGTGCCAGCCAGTGCAGCGCTTGTTGACCTTTTTCTTCCTACAGGACACTTCTGTAAATAGAAAATGTGTGCCCCACACCCACACAAATTACTGGCTTGAGCACATTGTTATTACTGTTCCAAACAACGCGTGAACGCAACACAAAACTAATGAAATGAAGCAATATTAGATTTTGTTTTTCCTTTTTTCTTTCCTAAATTCCGCACCACACCTGTTAATGTCTCACTGTGCCGCACTTGAGTATATTTCAATAGAGCAGTTGCTTGACAAATCCCGAATTTCCAGTCGGCTACCGAAATACAATCACTACACGCAGTCGATATGCCAGTTGACGGGGTTTAAAATAGGCTCTTCAGTGATTCCAATTGAAACGGGCTCTTTTTGGCTGTGTTTCGCCTGAAAAGTCTCGAAAGATTCTGACAAGCTGCTGGTCGTGATCCAAGCTAAAATGTGCATCAGCTAGGAAGAAAAATTCTGAAAACAAAGGGAACTTCGAGCACCGTATCCTTCAGAGTTTGTGGAAGACCTGAAATCATAGTAAAGGGGACATTTCAGCAGAGCCCAGTGGTCATGCTTGATTGAGTCCAGTGCCTAGTTCTTCAGATAATCCAGGTAGCCAGGTGTGCACTGACGCTGGGTGAGCAGCGAGGGGTTGCAGTGGTTTCAACTTGCAACAGGCTGGCAAAAAGGTGGATGAGCAGAAAACAAAAAAAACAAGCAAACCCTCATGCGGTGCAGCCATTGAAGGGGTGGTGTTTTTGCATTCATTGCACCTTGTGGTAGAATTCTGCTGCATGCCTCCGTGATGAAAGACTTGAATTGTCTTTCAGATCGTCAGCCTCTTTGTCCAGTTCTAACCGGCTCTGATAATTTGGCTCTGCGCGGTTCCCCTTGGGGCACGGGGCCTGGTGGTTTAGAGTCCGCCGTTGGCAAGAGGAAGCGCTAATCGCTGTAATCGTCACTGAGCTCGCCGCTCTGCGGCACCAGGGGTTAAGCCACTGACCGTGAAGTGGAAACAATATTTACAGCATTCCCTGTCGTCCCCGTCCCCCCCCCCGTCTCTCTCCTGCGAGCTAAGTGAAGCCGATTGAGATTGGAGTAGCGTTTCTCCAGTTCAGCAACCATTAGAAGTCTCAAAGGCACTTACTTACTCAAAGTGCTGGACTAAGGGAATGTAGCGCAGATGAGGGGAAAGCACAACAGTATAGCAACACAGAAGGTAGAGGCGAGCTAGGCTGAGGCTCGTGCATGACAACATGGCCTCAGTTCTCCGATCTTCAGCTCTTTTGGTCTCTCCGGCTGTTTATTTTTCCTCAATGTACTTAACTTTACATTGCAAACTGTTTTCATCTGTGTTGGTGTAACCTATTGTTATCCAAGGTCAATTTTGTGGGGGGTCATCTCAGTTCTTGATGTGCTCTTTTGTGGTACGATGGCTGTGTGATTTGACTAGCAGACGTCACCTGCCCCTCCTCTGTCCCCCTGCAGTTAACTGCTGGCCTTCGGAGAGTGGGAGCGGCTGCGATGTGAACATTGAGTATGAGCTGCAGGAGGAGGGGCTGGAGCTCAACGATGTCGTCATCTCTATCCCAGTCCCGTGAGTATACCCGGCCCCCACATGACGCACACGCGTTCAGCATAGGCATGAGGTGCCCACAGACTCAACACGTCCACCCTGTTCTCCCATCAGATGAGACCTGAGCCAGATCTAGCGTGCAGCTTTCTTCGTTACCGTTCCACTCGCATCCTCTGCCTTCCCTCGTGCAGCCATCAGTAAATGCATGCCTGACACTCTTTGGAGGCTGTAGAGAGCAGAAGCTGCTGTGCATCTCTGCACCAGCCACGCAGTGCGTAAGAAGCTCTTGAGTCACAGCGCTGGGTTTGCGTCATTTACTCATTCTTACTCAGATGTAGTTTTCCAGGATGTCCCTAAGCTAAGACATTAGGAACAGCCCGCGCATTTTGACGTAGTGGCTTTTCAATCATGAGCCGACGCGTGAGTGTGGCCCCTGCTTCCCCCCCGCTGCAGCTCGGGAGTGGGCGCCCCCCTGATCGGCGACCTGGACGGCGAGTACCGGCACGACAGCCGCAGGAACGTGCTCGAGTGGTGCCTGCCCGTCATCGACGCCAAGAACAAGACGGGCAGCCTGGAGTTCAGCATCGCGGGCCAGCCCAACGACTTCTTCCCCGTGCACGTCTCCTTCGTCTCCAAGCGCAACTACTGCGACATACAGGTGAGCCTCCGCGCCCCTCCCGCGTGCTGGCGAGAGTTGCCACGATTGGTCTGTTTGTGGTCACATGGTCGCAGTGTTCTGATTGGCTGTTGTGTGCGGCCAAGATTTCTCGAGCCTACCTCGAGGAAAAAAAGTGGTCTGAAAAAAGGGTAAAGACTGCAGTTAAACTTTAGAGAACTTAAGATTGAAGGGGAATGTAGAATCAGTTTGGTGTAGGCAATAAGGTTTTGTAGTAAAGAAAAACTATTTTATTGGAAAAGTCGTGGAGAACTGTCGTGGAGTGACTGTGGGATCCCCGGTGTGAATATATACATGTGCTATGAGGTGCACTCATCAATACCGATTCTTTCTAACCCTGAAATATAAAAGTGGCGTAGTAGTTCCCCCTTTAAATAAGGTCCAGCAGGGGGAGCTTTGCTTATTGGAGGAAGAGGCGGGGCGAATGTTGTGTGGAGAGTTTGACTTTCCGGATTCCTGCTCTTTCCTTATTCTTTGCGCTTGGTTTCCCTCCTCCCCCCCAGATTTCCAAAGTCACCCTGGTGGACAGCGACAGCCCTGTGAGGTTCTCCTTGGAAACGTCGTTCGTCGTCGACAAGTACGAGATACTGTAAGCGCGCGGGCGCCTCGCGATCCCTGATGGCCGCCGTCAACCGCGAGAAGACGAGAGAAGAAGAAAAGAAAAGGAGAAACCGATAGTAGCCTGTCCGCTGTGTACCAGATTGAATACAACACATCAACGGGACGCAATCCTGCTAAGCCCTTACCGCCATGGCGTGCAGTATTTGGTGTATTTATACCTTTATATGTAAAAAAAAGAAACAGAAATGCTATATATATAAATAAAACCGAACAGGACGCAGTTGTGCTGCATCAGCAAAGGAGAATCGTAATATACAAACAGGAGGGCTGTGGGGGAGAGGAGGGACAAGTAGTGTTTAAAGGGGGCTAGGGTGGGGATGGGGGGGGAGGGCTAGGGGTTGTGCTTCAGGTGTGATCCAAAAATTGAATACCTAAATAAAAAGAACGTCCTGATAACCTGAGCAGCATGACGTTTCCCCGGACGTCCAAAGACAGGTGTGGAAAGATCCCAGGCTCGTGGACAGCCTTTGTAACGAGGGTGTGTGTGTGTGGGGGGTCAGATGAGCCGATTTCCTGCGACCGCAGTCAGAGGAAGAGTACGGAGTGTGGCTTGAGCAGCTATGTTGCTTTCTGGGCAAAAAAAAAAGAAAAAACACTAAACGAGTTGCTAGATGACTGCCTCACGTCCAGCTTTAACCTGCACCTATTGCG